GTCAACTTTCCTGCTCCTCTGATGCTGCCTGGCCTGCTGTGCTCCTCCAGCTCCACACTGTGTTATCTCTGACCCCAGCATCGGCAGTTGTTACTATCGTTGAGGCAATAGCTGGGGTTGTGTACAGTCACAAATCCTTCTGACTACTCTTAAATAAACAAACAGTCTAAATAGCCACTGGTGGTACATTATAACAAACATTCAAATCATCAGAAACTCACTGCACAATAACAGAAACTCATCAAATCCAAATTAGGGGTGAGGACAAGTCAGCAGAGGCCTGTAACAGACTGGAATCCAGAGAAGGAGTATTCAGTTCCACCGTCCTCTCGTGACTTGTCCTCACCGCTAATGCAGACAGAACTGCAAAACAGGAGCAGGCATTTGGGTGACACAAGCCCCTCCATGGCCTACTGCCCAGGTCCACTGATGCCCATCTTGGTCAGGCCCAGGATCAGACCTACAAGGAAATTCCCCCCAAATCTGCCTACTGCACTTCGCTTGGTGTGGGGCAACTAACAATTTAAAAACAGCCCTATTAAATAACTAAACAGGGGCAGGAAATGAAAACACTAAATAAACAGCAAACCTGTTTCATCCAGGCCACAGACTGCTCTGGCACCTGGTGAAGCTATTTCAGGTTTTCATGGGTTAATGGATCTAAAGCCTGTTTGGCTCGCATAGTGAGTCTTAACAAGCAGCATTTAACAAGATATAGCTTATTGCATGATAGTAATTATGTTTAGCTTGCCAATTTGAGAGACTATTAGGAGGTAAGGATGATGCATCAGATTCCATTAAGCTCATTTCCCTTCAAATCTGCTCCACCATTCAATATGATCATAGCTGGTCATCCGATCAGTCCCCTGTTCCCGCTTCCCCCCATTCCCTTTGATCCCTTTAGCCCAAGAACCAGGTCTAACTGTCTGCGTGAAGACATTTCTCCTCATCTCGGTCTAAAATGGCCCACCCTGAATCCATATCCATAGACTTTGACCCCTGGTTCTGGACTCCATAGTCACCTTCCAGTGTTTACCCTGTCTAGCCATGTTCAAATCTTATAGAAACCTATAAGATCACCTCCCTCACCCCCACAATTCTTCTCAACTCCAGTGAACATAGTCCTAAACGATCCAGTCTCTGTTCATAAGTCAGGAATCAGTCTAGTAAACCTTTGCTGCACTCTCACCATCACCAGAACATCCTTCCTCAGATAAGGAGGCTTATACTCCAGGTGTGGTCTCACCAAGGCCCTATACAATTGCAGGAAAACATCCCTGCTCCTGTACTCGAATCCTCTCAAATCCCAAGGTGGAACCTGAACCCAAACCCAGAACTTTTGGCCAGAGGTGGACACGACAGACTGGACAAACTGGGGATGTTTCCATTGCAGCAGAAAAGCTGAGTGAGGATGTGATTGAGATGGATAAAATTATGAGGGGCATTGACAGGGAGACAGGAAGGAATGTTTCCCATTAACGGAAGGATCAATGAATTTGGGGCATAGATTTAAGGTAAGGAGCAGGAGGTTTAAAGAGGATGCAAGGAAAACATTTTTTCACCCAGGAGTGATGGGAATCTGGAACTCACTGCCTGTAAGGGTGGTCGAGATAGAAATCCTCATAACACTTTAGTATTTAGATGTGCATTTGCAATGCTAAGGCCTGCCAGTCAAGTGCTGGAAACCACTTTCTGAAGAAGGGTCTTGACCCGAAACATCAGCTTTCCTGCTCCTCTGATGCTGCTTGGCCTGCTGTGTTCATCCAGCTCTACACCTTGTTATCGCTGGATTAGAATAGTTGGGTGGTTGTTTTTGACTGGCACAGACTTGGGACAAAGGGCCTTTTTTCTGTACTGTAGACCTCCACGATTGCAATAAAAGAATCCCCAAATATTGTATCTTTACACTAGCAAAGCAGGAAGCAAAATTCACAACCTGCTGCAATGGGATTTGAACTTTCAAACTCCGGCTTACAAACACAGCACTATCCAGGAAACCTGGCGTCCATTGTCAATGCAGCATAGCAATTCTCCGCAAAGCCCTCAAGCTTTTGTTTAATTCTTTCCTCTATTAACAATTTATGATCTGACTTTGAAATACCATACTTTTGTCAATATTTCACACAATGAGAAATTTCCCCACTTTTTTTAAAACTGTTTTTAAGAAAAACACCAAGCACACACACAAACGCCGCTGGACTTAAAACACATCCAAGTTTCTCAGAAACTTGGCTCAGAGACGAGTTGCAGTGAAACAGGAGACCCTTCAGCCTCTTAAACTGGTGCTGGCTCTTTGGAAAAAGAAGTGAGCTAATCTACTCCCTACACTTGCCACTGCAACCAACTCCATGTTATCTTTGTCAGAGATAGTAAGAACTGCAGATGCTGGAGTCAGAGATAACACAGTGTGGAGCTGGAAGAACGCAGCAGGCCAGGCAGCATCAGAGGAGCAGGAAAGCTGACGTTTCTGATCGGGACCCTTCTCAGAAAAACAGTCCCGACCCGAAACATTAACTTTACTACTCCTCTGATGCTGACTGGCTGTTGTGTTCCTCCAGCTCCACACTGTGTTATCTCTACGTGTTTTCTTTGCGTATTTACTCAATTGCCTCTTGAAAGCCACGACTGAACTAGACATGAACCATCCATGCGAACAAAAAGCGATTTTTACTCATGCCACCTCTGGATTTTGCCCCATTCGCCTTAAATTCAATGAATCCTGCTAACTGTTGCACTTCCTACCACCTCCCCTGTCTGCACCCTCAATGCTTTTGAAACCATCAAATACAACACAGGTTTAATGACCCCCCCGGCTCCCTCACAACAGGGAGGAGGGCACTCACACAGTCACAAAAAAAAATGCCGTTTGCAAGCGATGCTGCAAGACGACCCAAAGACAAGTGACAAAACGACAACTCGTATCCAGCCAATTCACATAAGAGACCCACCCCGGGCTTTGTTGTGACTCAGAGACACACACACACACACACAAAGAAGAGGAGCAAGGAGCGTTGGTTTTCAGAACGGCTAGTGATAACTGCAAATAAAAACAAAACTGTTTCACAGCAACGACAGCCCCACAGCCCTGATCTTGCTCTGCATACCTGCTCCAACAAGACCACGGTTTCCCGTGCAGCGACCGCCAACGCTGGGTTCCAATGGAATGTTGCCCCGGGAGCGCGTGACTACAATGTAACAATTGCAGCCAATGTAACTAACAGAGGGGTTTCCCCCGCGAGAGGGAGTTCCTGCTCACCAACACAGCACCGAAAGCCACACAGGACAAACTTCCAAACAGCAAGGAGACAACACCAATCCTACCCCCCCACCACCCCCCCCCCCCCGCTTCGTCGTACAGGCAGCCCAAGCTGCATTGAATCGCTCACCGGGGTTCGCAAAAAGGGATTTACAGGCATCGAAAAAAATAAACATAATCACGTGTAAAAGTTCCGATGTTCTCAAGATAGGGGTTTAGGATTTGTGAATGGGGAATAGATTCGCGTTTCGGATTGTTTGGTGGTGAAATCGAAAACCTGCCTTGACACTGTGAGGAACATGGGGGCACATTTTTTTAAAGTGAAACGCGGGAGGTTTATAGGAGATTTGAAGAAGATGTTTTCATCCATTTCTGTTTTGTAGAATGCACCGCCTGGGAGGCTAGTTGAGGCGGAAAACCTCACAACCTTTAAAGAAAAACTTGAATGAGCATTTGAAGTGACATAACATTCAAGGCTATAGGCCTAGTCTTGGAAGGTAGGACCAGTGTGCATTTTTGGCAGGACAGATTCGATGGGCTGAGAGGCCTCTTCTCTACTGTATCATTATATAATTCCTAAATGAATGCAAAATATTGCAGCTGTTGGAAGTCTAAAGTGATAACAGAAAATGCTAAGAAACACAGAAAATCAAAGTTCTGAAGAAATGATACTATGGACTCAAAATGTTCACCGTTTCTCTCTCCATAGATACTGCTGGACCAATTGAGTTTCTTCAGTTTTTCTCTTTCTAGACTTGTCTGCACTTACGCTGATAGCATCACAGACTGCAATTCATGAGGTCACCTCAAGGGAGGCAGTGATGTTGGGGTAATATCACTGGACTAGAATCCCAGACCATTGTTCTCAGGACTTTTAAAAAAATCATTCATGGGGTGAAGGCATCACTGGCTAGGCTAGCATTTACTGCCATGTGGAGGGCAGTTTAAGAGTCAACCATATTGCTGTATGTCTGGAATCACATGTAGGCCAGACTAGTTAAGGATGGCAGTTTCTTTCCCTAAAGGATATTAATGAACCAGATGGAATTTTCCCAACAACTGACAATGGATTCATGGTCATCAGTAGACTCCAGATTTCATTACAGGATTTGAATCCAGGTCCCCCTGGACATTACTGGGGTCTCTGGATAAATAGTCCAGTGATAATACCACTAGGCCATCCCTTTCTTTGGAGTTTGGATCCCACCATGGAAGATGTTGAAGTTTGAATTCGATTAAAAAACAAGGAATATGGAACTGACTTAATGGTGACAATCAGTTGTTTGTACAAACCCATCTGATTCTGCATGCCGTTACCATGACTCCAGATCCACACCAATATGGTTCACTCTTAACTGCCCATTGACTCATCTATTCCTGTGAATGAATTTTTGGAATCCCAGGAATGTTATAGCAATTTGACCCTTCATGAGTTCACTAGTTCTTTGAAGGATCATCATTAATTAGTGCTGAGCTCCTGGCATCACATCAGTACTGAAATTTGTAGACCACATTACCCGTTTGCGAGCTAGACTGAACGTCTTTATGGCCTTGACTGCAGCATCCTGTCAGTGGAGAACACCACTCATGTTGCTACTGCATAGTGGCAGAGTAAAACAGCTAGCTTCACACATTTATCTAACTGCCAAGGTACCTTTATTCTCTCATTAGATGTGGACATTGCTATCTGGGCCAGCATTTATTGCCTGTCCCTAGTTGCCCTCTTGAGCAGGTGGTGGTGAGCTGCCTTCTTGAACCGCTGCGGTCCATGTGCTGTAGGTAGACCCACAATGCCCTTAGGGAGGGAATTCCAGGATTTAGACCCAGCAACACTGAAGGAATGGTAATATATTTCCAAGTCAGGATGTTGAATGGCTTGGAGGGAAACTTACAGGGGGCGGTGTTCCCATGTATCTGCTGCCCGTGTCCTTCTAAATGGAAGTACCGATGGGTTCAGAAGGTGCTGTTTGGAATATGACGTACAATGGACACTTTTCAGGACTAATAGCGATGGCGTGAGGCTTTTTTATGTCACAGAGTCATACAGCATGGAAACAGACCCTTCAGTCCATGTCAAACATAAACCTAAACTAAACTAGTCCCACCTGCCTGCTCCTGGCCAATATCCCTCCAAATCTTTCCTAATTATGTACTTATCCAAATGTCTATTAAATGTTGTAATTATACCTACATTCACCACTTTCTCAGGAAATTCATTCCACATGCAAACCACCCTCTGTGTAAAAACTTTGCCTCTCATGTCTTTTTTTAAGTCTCTCTCCTCTCACCTTAAAAATGTGTCCCCTAGTGTTGAAACTCCCCATCCTAGGGAAAGGCCAACTATAATTAAGTTTCATTATTTTATAAACTTCTATAAGGTCACCTCTCAACCTCCTATGCTCCAGTGAACAAAGTCCCAGCCTATCCAGCCTTTCTTTATAACTCAAACCTTCTATACCTGGCAACATCCTGGTAAATCTCTTCTCAACCCTCTCCAGCATGATAATATCCTTCCTATAACTGGACTGGACACAGTGCTCCAGAAGAAGCCTCACCAATGTCCTGTACAATCTCAACATGACTTCCCAACTCAAAGGACTGAGCAATGAAGGCAAGCATGCCAAATGCCTTTTTAACCATCCTGTCTATATGTGACTCAAACTTGTGATATATGGTGAGAAAGGCTCTGATTAGAGTAGACAGTATCCCCCAAGATGGCTTTAATGCATCCTGACTCAGTACCAGGTTTTCACAGTGAACAAATGGCTCAAGCCTTATTAAAAATACAGGACAGTACATCACAGGAACAGGCCCTTCGTCTCACCAAGCCAGTGCTGACACAGATGCCTTTCTTAAACCAAAAACCTTTAGCTTCTACATTGTCCGGATCCCTCTATTCGCTGCCTATTCGTGTATCTGTCAAGATGCCTCTCAAATGTTGCTATTGTATCCGCCTCCACCACCTCCTCTGGCAGCACATTCCAGGCACTATAAACCCTCTGTGTAAAAAAACTTGCTTCTCACATCTCCTTTAAACTTACTGTCCTTTACCTTAAACCTATGTCCCCTAGTAATTGACATTTCTACCCCCTGGGGAAAAAACTCTGGCTACCCATTCTATCCATGTCTCTCATAATTTGATAAACTTCTATCAAGTCACCTGTCAACCTCTGACATTCAAGTGAAAACAAACCAAGCGTGTCCGATCTGTCCTCATAGCCTCCAAACAAGGTAACATCCTGGTAAACCATTTCTGTACCTTCTCCAAAGCTTCCACATCCTTCTGGCAGTGTGGCAACAGAACTGTACATAATATTTCAAATGTGGCCCAACTAAATTTCTACACAGCTGCAGCATGACACGCCAATGTTTATACTCTATGCCCTGACCAATGAAGGCAAGCAAGCCATGTGCCTTCTTGACCACCTTATCAACTTTGTTGCCAGTTTCAGGGAACTGTGGACCTGTATGCTTAGATCCCTCTGTACGTTGATGCTACTGAGGGTTCTGCCATTTACTGTATACTTCCCTCCTGCAATAGTCCTTCCAAAATGCAACACCTTGCATTTGTCTTGTTTAAATTTCATCTGCCATTGCTCCACCCAAGTTTCCAGCCTATCTATATCCTGTTCTATCCTCTGGCAATCCTCCTCAGTATCTGCAGCTCCCCCGATCTTTGTGTCATCTGCAAACTTACTAATCAGACCAGCGACATTCTCCTCCAAAATCATTTGTATATATCACAAACATCAGGGGTCCCAGCACTGATTCCAGTGGAATATCACTGGGTCACAGATCTCCAGTCAGAAAAACACCCTTCTACTTCTATTCTCTGTGTTCTATGACTAAGCCTGTTCTGTATCCATCTTACCAACTCACTGCAGATACTATGTAAATTCGCATTCTATTTCACACAAGGGACCTCATCAAAGGTCTTGCTAAAGTCAACATCTACAGTCCTGCCCTCATCAATCATGTCTGCCACTTGGCGAAAACAACCCAAACAAGTTTGTGAGACACAATGTCCCCCACACAATGTCATGCTGCCCATCGCTAATAGGTCCATATTTTTCCAAATGTGAATAAGTTCTGTCCTTAAGAATCTTCTCCAATTATTCCCTACTGCTTACTATGTAAGGTTCACTGGTCCTTCTTAAACAAAGGAACAACATTGGCTATGCTCCAATCCTCTGGGATCTCTCCTGTGACGAAAGGAAAGCAAAGATTTTGTTCTAGGCCCTGTCAGGTCCTGAGGACTTGTTTACCATAATGCTTTTCAAAACACCCAATACCTCCTCTTTTGTTATATCGACATGCCCTAGAATATTAACATACCCCTCTACAGGTTGTTTTCAGCGGCAGCAGTGTGAGCCAGAGTGCCGACGGGAAGGTAAGGCGGTTTTTGTTTCTCCCTGTGTAAAAAACTTACCTCGTGCAGCAAGCGGCCCTCTTGTTTTCAGCGGCGGGTGTGTGGAGGGAACGAAAGCCAGGAAGAAACAGATAAATTCGGGCATTGGCTAAACCCAAAACACTACACGTGTAGAGGTTTGGTAAAGTAAGGCTTTCTTTTATTCTTCTTCTGGAAATCTCGAGTAGAGGGAATGGAAGCTAGGGCAGATGCATGCTCCTCTTGCAGAATGAGGGAGGTAAGGGTCACTGCTGGTGTCCCCCCGACTTCACCTGCGAGAAGTGCACCCAACTCCAGCTCCTCAAAAACCGCGTTAGGGAACTGGAGCTGGAGCTGGAGCTGGATGAACTCCGGATCATTCGGGAGGCTGAGGGGGTGATAGAGAGGAGTTACAGGGAGGTGGTCACACCCAAGGTACAGGAAAAAGGTAGCTGGGTGACTGTCAGGAAGGGGAAAGGGAATAGGCAGACAGTGCAGGGATCCCCTGTGGCCGTTCCCCTCAATAATAAGTATACCGTTTTGGATACTGTTGGGGGAGATGACCTACCAGGGGAAGGCCATAGCGGACAGGTCTCTGGCACTGAGCCTGACCCT